ATTGTACTCCAGAGGTCAAATAATCGCACTCTTTGGGTGGTAAAGTCATTGTAGTCAAGGGATTAAGTCATCGTATTCAATGTCAGGTCATCGCACAGTATCCAAAGGGTTAATATCACTACCGCATTTTTAACAAATTTCGTTTTGCTTTCAAATGACTAATTACATTTACGAAAATTACAATCACGTACATAAGATCAGCGTTGTCAATCACATACATAAAATCAGCGTTGTCAATCACGTACATAAGATCAGAGTTGTCAATTACGTACATAATATCAGCGTTGTCAATCACGTACACAATATCAGTGTTGTCAATCACGTACACATTATCAGCGCTGTCAATCACGAACATAAGATCAGCGTTGTCAATCACGTACATAAAATCCGCGTTGTCAATCACGTACATAAGATTAGCGTTGTCAATCACGTACATAAAATCCGTGTTGTCAATCACGTACATAAGATCAGCGTTGTCAATCACGTACATAAGATCAGCGTTGCCAATCACGTACATAACACCAGCGTTGTCAATCACGTATACAATCAGTGTTGCCAATCCTCACTGCAGAGTATCCCCAATATTTAATCTCACAATATCATTAAATTTATGTCTGATTGTTGCCTGAAGGAAGAGCCATGCCTGAGCCAGTCACACGGTCCAGGTGACACTCAGGAGAGCCAGGTGGGTCAGGTGGGTCAGGTATGTCAACTGAGCCAGATAGACAAGTTAGGTATGTTAATTGAACCAGGTAGGAGAGTTAGGTAGCCAGATGAGGTGAAGTGGAGCATTCAGGTAGAGAGGTGAGGTGAAGTGGGGGAGTCAGGTAGAGAGGTGAGGTGAAGTAGGGGAGTCAGGTAGCCCAGGTGAGGTGAAGTGGGGGAGTTAGGTAGCCCAGGTGAGGTGAAGTGGGGGAGTTAGGTAGCCCAGGTGAGGTGAAGTGGGGAGGGTAGCCCAGGTGAGGTAGTTAGGTGCCCAGGAGGTGGGAGGTAGGGAGAGGCAGTGTGGAGAGGTAGAGGTGAAGGTGGAGGAGGAGGGTGAAGGTGGAGGAGGGCAAGGCTGGAGGAGGGGGGGGTACAGGCAGAAGAGACTGTTACTCCGGCATCATACAACCACTGCCCCGGGTCCTCCTCCTCCTGCTGGTGTGGGGACTCGCTTTTACATGGTCTGGGTCTCTGTCGACTGGAGGGATGGGAGGGAGGGAAGAAGGGAGGGGGGAGGGAGGCAGGGAAGGAAGAAGGGTAGTAAAGATGGGAAGGAGGGGGAGAAGAAGGGTGACAAGATGGGAACAGAGGTGAGGAAGGGAATATAGAAGGGTTAAAAAATGAGGGAGAGAGAAAAGAGGGAAGGATGAGGAGAGAGAGACTAAGAAAGAAGGGAGAAAGGAGGAGATTACACAATAGGGGACGGTAGATATTTTATAAGACATTAGTACTGTAAAACAAACAAACAAACACACACACACACACACACACACACACACACACACATGTACGTATACCTACCACAACACCAAACCTAACCCCATAATATAAACAAAAACCTAACGAGACACAAGCTAGTTAACATTCATCCAGTCTCTTGTTATAAATCACAGTAAATTAACACCTGGGAAACGATAATAACCACCAACTGTTTATTAATAGATCAATAAAAGTATTCCCACCTGTCTTTAACAACATAAGGTTATTATATTTTACAACTGTTGGTAATGTGATAGATTTGTTTGTGTGTTTGTTTGATTGTTTGTTTAGGTGTTTGTTTGTTTGTCTGTTTGTTTGCTTGTTTGTTCTTTGTTTGTTGCTTGTTTGTTTGGGTGTTAGGTAGCTATGATGGTTGGTGGGTGTGTTTCTATGGTGTTCAGTAAACTTCTGGTGCAGGAAACAGTTACTGATAGGACACAGTTACTGATAGGACACAGTTACTGACAGGACACAGTTACTGACAGGACACAGTTACTGACAAGACACAGTTACTGACAGTCTGTGCATCAGGTGGCCAAAGTGATAAGTGCCAAGTGTGTATTATTCCTAAGGCCAACCTGCTAACTTATCCAAACCTAATCTAACTTAACCTAACCTGACCTAACAACCTAACCTAACCTGACAGGACGTGACCTAACCTTTTCCCCTCCCTCACTTACTACCTACTCCTCCTTCCCCATCCCCTTCTACCCAGGCACCCCCTCCCTCTCCCACTGCCTCTTCCCTCCCTCACTAACTCTTCCCTCCCCTACTGCCTCTTCCCTCCCTCACTAACTCTTCCCTCCCCCACTGCCTCTTCCCTCCCTCACTAACTCTTCCCTCCCCTACTGCCTCTTCCCTCCCTCACTAACTCTTCTCTCCCCTACTACCTCTTCCCTCCCCCCCCACTGCTAACTCTTCCCCTCCCTCACTAACTCTTCCCCTCCTCACTGCCTCTTCCTCCCTCACTATCCCTCCCCTACTGCCTCTTCCCTCCCTCACTAACTCTTCTCTCCCCTACTACCTCTTCCCTCCCCCACTACTCCCCCTCCCAAACCAACACTTTCGTCCCCCACCAACAACCTCCTCCCCACTACTACCCCGTCCCCCCTCCACCCCAGCTGGTAGTGTCCCGGGGCTCTGGTAGTCTCTATAAACAAACCCACAAGGCAGGTCCGCCAGCTGCTGCGTCTTCCTTTTAAGGAGGAAGAGGAGGAGTCTTTTGGGGAACAGAAGGAGGAGAAGGAAGAGTCTCTAGGTGGAGGAGGAGAAGGAAGAGTCTCTAAGTGGAGGAGGAGGAGGAGTCTCTTTGTGGAGGAAGGAGGAGGATATGGAGTTTCTAGGTGGAAGAGGAGAAGGAAACGACAAAGAAAAAGGAGAAGACAACTAGAAAGTCTCCTCAGAGCCTTACCAACAAAGGTGACATCCTTAATAACTCATATCATTGTATCATAATTGGATAGTAGTGTGTGTGTGTGTGTGTGTGTGTGTGTGTGTGTGGGGACGTTTCTACATGTTTTTGTTTCGTCTTGTCACTTTCTACATTTTCTTATACCATTTCCTCCTCTTCTTCTTCATCGGGTTTCTGTTAACCTACATTCACCTAACGCAAGAAATGGAAGCGCTGGAAATATAAGACAGGCAGAAAAACATATATACAGACAAAGACAGACATCCAAAGACAGACAGACAGACAGAATGACAGATATATAGTTAAATGCATCAGTAAAATGCGTCTATATACTTTCATTTAAGAGATTATTAATCTTTTATGTCGTAAGTCAGATACATAACTTAAGTGAAGTCAGGTTGATTCGTTCTTCTATCACTATTTAAGGGAAAAATTGAACGTACGGGTAATTAGAAAATCTCTTCTTGTGTTGTAGCTTAAGTGAACCAGCTAAGACACGTTCTTATGTCTCTAGCTAAGTGGAAGGAACGTACGAGAGTCTAAGGTTCAGTAACAAGGAACGTACGAGTCTCTAAGGTTCAGTAACAAGGAACGTACGAGTCTCTAAGGTTCAGTAACAAGGAACGTACGAGTCTCTAAGGTTCAGTAACAAGGAACGTACGAGTCTCTAAGGTTCAGTAACAAGGAACGTACGAGTCTCTAAGGTTCCGTAACAAGGAACGTACGAGTCTCTAAGGTTCAGTAACAAGGAACGTCGAGTAGGGCGAGGAACGTACGAGTCTCTAAGGATCCGTAACGAGGAACGTACGAGTCTCTAAGGATCCGTAACGAGGAACGTACGACTGTGAATATCCACCATAAGGAACATTAAGGTCGGAACACCAGGGAAACAATGGCCGGGTCTTGTACTGCTTCCTGGAGGTCCAACTTCCTCCTCGGCCTTCTCCTTCAGCGCCTCCTCCACCTACGTCGTCATCATACTCTTTGTGTTTCGTCTTTTTCAGGGTGAAGAAAAGAAATCCTGATAAAGTGAGAGAGAGAGAGAGAGAGAGAGGAGAGAGAGAGAGAGAGAGAGAGAGAGTCAACAGTAGTCTGTGTGCATGTGCAGTAGCCCCACCCCCCCTTCCAGCCCTCACCTGCCCCACATATATGGGTGCAGAGGGAGGGAAGGACACACACACACACACACACACACACACACACACACACACACACACACACACACACACACACACACACACACACACCAGGGAACACAAAAGACCTGCACGCTGTGTGTTTATAGTAACTACTTAAACCAATAGACGGGGGCCATGCCAGTCACCATCCCGCACCCCATCACAGAAAACGGGGTATGGGTCCGTGTTAAAATATAGATAGATAGAGCCACACCTGAGATAAAACATACCTCATGCACGAGAAACATCCATCAGTGAAGTCAGTAAGGCTGGATATAAGGGTGACTATACGCAGACAACATGATGATGATGATGAGGAGGAGGAGGAGGAGGAGGAGGAGGAGGAGGGAAGGGAGTCTCGTATTGTAAAGAAATTGTGTAGAGAAAAGAATTAAGATTAAAAATATTCAGTTTTCTTCCTCTTTCATCCTTGAAGATCTTTAACAGCTGTCAACCAGGGTACGTTCTCTCTCTCTGTTCTTTTTTTCCCTTTTTCTCCATTCTCTCTTTACTCTCAATCTCTTTTATACTCTTTTTTATCTTCATTTTTCTTTTTCCTTTCTCTTTCTTCACTCTCTCTCTCTCTGTTACTATTTTATCTTGGTTCTTCCCTTTTTATTATCTCTCTCTCTCATGCCTCATTTATATTTTCCTTCATTCTCGTTTCTTTGTTATCGCTCCTTCCTCTTATGCCCTTCTTTTCTAACTCTATTTTTCTCTCTTCTTATCAATAATTTCTCTTACTTTTCTCTTTTGTTGTTAATTTCTTCTCTCTTTCTCACTCTGTTTCCTTCATCATCACACATAGTAAAATCGTCAACCTCCGTCACCAAACAAGGAAACATGAGATTTTTTCCTTTAGTTTCCCCGACGTCATGCAATTCGTTTTCTTTTCGTGGGAGGACCAACAAAAAACGGGAGCTGTGTTGTTGACTCACGGAACTAACATGGCGAAGACGGAGTTTACCAAAAAGGTGGAAAAAGGGATGTTGGTATTGGTGGAAGGGAAGGGGGGATTGAGGGGGAAAGGGGGGTAGATGGGGAAGGTGGGTTAGAGGGGGAAAGAGGGTAGGAAGTGGAGGGGAAGGGGATTGGGGTGAGGGAGGAAAGGGGTAGAGGAGGAAAGGTAGAGATGGAAAAGGTGTAGGAAGGGGAATGGATAGTTTGGAAGTAAGGGAAGTAGGAGAGGAAAGAGTAGGTGAGGAAGGGAAAGAAGATAGAGGAAGGTGTAAGGGAGAGAGATGAAAGGGAATGGTAAGTGGTGGTGATAGGTAGGGGTGGTGGTGATGGTAATGGTGATATCAGAGGTGAAAGGGATGGAAGTGATGGAGGGGGAAGGAAGGAAGGAAGGAGGGGGGAGGTGGATGGTGGACAAAAATTTATATCCTTCACGCCTTTGGGTGCCGCAGGAGGAGGGGGAAGAGAGGAGAGAGGAGAAATTGGAGGAAAAGGATGGGAGGAGGTGATGGAGGGAGGGATGGAAGAGGGAAAATCTACAGTATATCTCGCAGGCCTTCGGGTATACTTTAAGAGGTATACTCATAGAAGATATAATATACCTGAAGAAAAAATAAGGTATACAGGAAGAAAGATAAGGTTTACCTGAAGAAGTCTGACTAAAACCTGTAGAAAGATGAGAATACCTGTAGAGAGATAATTAACTGAAGATAGGTGAGTCATAAGAAGCTCAGGTGTAAAGGAGGATATTTATGCATATACCTGAAGGAGATTTGGTATATTTGAGGGTAAATGAAATATATGGGAAGTTGGTATATACATGGCAGAAAGTTGAGGTATAACTATATATATTTAAGGTTATACTCGTCGTAGGCTTGGGTATACCTCCAGGAGTAGTTGAGGTACAGGTGAAGGAGGAGAAGAGAGGTGTAAGATGGCCGGCAGCTGTCCACCTAAGACCACAGTCACACACATGAATAATGCAACTTTACTGACAATGGCTTCGACCACGCTACTGTGTGTGTGTGTGTGTGGTCCATCTTTCCCTACAACCAGACATCGTGTGTACGTACTATGGTGGACAAAAGTTCCTTCCCTCAGCTAGCCACAATGTGACTAAATCACCTGAGGTTCGAATAACGAAGCAACTGAGGGAAGTGCTGTAATCGTCCAACAGATGGCGCACTGTGTAGTGAATACGACGGGGAATGGGGGCCAAAAGGGGATGGGGGCCAAAGAAGGAAAGAGAGGTAGGGCTGTGGGAAGGGACTTTTATCCACCATAGTACATCTAACAACATGTGAACAACTTAATGACATGTTCACCTTTTATGACGTGTACACAGATCATGTCGTGTACACGTGTATTACCGTGTAGACAACTAATGACCTGCCATATGTGTTTCCCTGATGATGGAAGGTGTGGTGTAGGCGCCTCCCCCACGCCCTCACCTCCACCTGCCCATATTCGTCACTAATTAGTCTCGTCATTACCTGAGCCTCACCTGTCGACACCTCACGCACACGCTAAGAGTGACTGAGTAGCTGAGAGAGGTGGTAAGGTGATCTCATGTCAGTGATCCTTGACCTGTCACGGCCTTACGACACATGACATGACATTTAATTTCCCTCACATGTCAGGTTCCCCAGGGACGTGTATGTCAGTCTTTACCGCTGCATGCCAAGACCACGTACTGTACAACTCATTCTCTATATGACATGATAAGACCCTGCCCATATCACCCTCCACCACCACATGACAAGGCCCTGCATATATCACCCTCCACCACCACATGACAAGGCCCTGCATATATCACCCTCCACCACCACATGACAAGGCCCTACACATATCACCCTCCACCACCACATGACAAGGCCCTGCCCATATCACCCTCCACCACCACATGACAAACCCCTACATCACCCTCCACCACCCATGACAAGGCCCTACACATATCACCCTCCACCACCACATAGCCAAGGCCCTGCCCATATCACCCCTCCCACCACCACACACACAACCAAAGGCCCTGCATATCTCCCCACCCCTCCATCACACCACATGACAAGACCCTGCCCATATCACCCTCCCATCACCACATGACAAGGCCTACCTCCCCTCCCACCACCCACACTTGACAAAGGCCCTGCCCATATCATCCCTCCACCACCACATGACAAGGCCCTGCCCATATCACCCCTCCATCACCACATGACAAAGACCTGCCCTATCACCTCCATCACCACATGACAAGGCCCTACACATATCACCCTCCACCACCACAAAGCCCCACCTCCACCCCTCCACACACCACATGACAAGGCCCTGCATGTCACCCTCCACCACCACATGACAAGACCCTGCCCATATCACCCTCCACCACCACATGACAAGGCCCTGCCCATATCACCCTCCACCACCACATGACAGGAGCCACACCTGCTCACTACCCACCACATGACAAGACCCTGCCCATATCACCCTCCACCACCACATGACAAGGCCCTGCCCATATCACCCTCCACCACCACATGACAAGGCCCTACACATATCACCCTCCACCACCACATGACAAGACCCTGCCCATATCACCCTCCACCACCACACGTCAGACTCCCAGACATTACCAAGAATTTTACAAACTGACGATCAAGAATGTCAGATTGATATATTTCGGTTAATGTCATAAATTATTCATAATATTACTCATGAAATTGTAAATTATTATTATTAATCAATAACTTATACATTATCCGTAATATTATTCTCGATCTTGTACATCATTCATATTACTCATAATCGTAAATTATTCGTGGATATTATTCACCATACGATGAATATATCTGGACCAATACAGAATATCTATTGTCTTTTTCACAAAAGTTCTCCAGGAGAGAAAGAGAGAGAGAAAGAGAGAGAGAGAGAGAGAGTCGTGAGGTGGTGGAGGCTGGGGTCGAGGGTCGCCCAAACACACAATACTACCCTGTTGACAAGTTACCTGCGTTCTCACTACACGTGTGGACATATGGCCCACTGACTGAGCGTATTTACTGCAACCTTTAAACTCCTCTGCTTCTAAAAACTATAAAGGCATTTTCATTCACTATTTATTAAAGGAAAGTAAGCACTTTAAACAGAGGTTAGACTGTTGCAAGTTGAATTTGTGTGTTTTGTTTGAGAGTGATGGAGCGTTGTGTTATCCCTGGTGAGTGGCCCACACAACACCACCCTTGACCCTCCACACACCTCTTCAGACGAGTGTTTGCGAACCTAAGTGCTAGCGCGAGGAACTTACCTGGTGAGCACCTCGCGGGGTGAAGGGGAACCATCCTCCCTTAACACACAGTCCACGATAGCTAACATTCTCCCGAGATTACCCACCTTACTGCCTCCTGCCTGTGTCTCTGTCAACACCCAGCTGCATTATTATTCGGTGTTGGTCCTCGTTAGAATTTGAAGCCTTCCTCTTATCAAGTTCCCTCTTGAGAGAGTTGTTTCTCCAGACTGTGTTATTTCACCTGAGGCGCGGCTGAAATGCTTGAGGGAACACTTTACTGGTCGACCACCACCACCAAAATGAACAACAATTTTCGCGTTGATGATGTGTGCGTGGCGTTAGTTACGGTAGTGTGAGTGAGGGTGATGACGCTTGTTTTTGTTCATCACCTGTTGAAGGTTGCCATTTCACCCCTCCCCCCCCCCCCTTTTTTTCAGGAAAGGCCAGGCGGTATAGGAAACTACTTCTCCACTCAATCACTGGAGCCTAAAATATTCAAGAGTCAATCCAAGGCGTTAACCATATGGGCCTGGCGTCACTTATCACACAAGTTGATATATGTCACCTAACCTTTTTTCTTCTAGTCAGTATTAATAATTCTCGTAAACGTAACCACAAATCATAAACCAGAATAAGATATTTCATCTCCTAATTACAGGTACAAGTATGGACTCAGGTACACAATACAGGTAACTACAATAATTACCATGTATAATAGTGACAACAAAAGAGAGTTAGTGTCTTAATCTAGATATAAACAAACAAATGTAAACAAAGGCAACAGAGAATAAATTGATCATTGGGTAATTCGCGTCTGAAGATATATTCCTCACGCACGAAAACCATATATCAGTCAAGTCAGTAACATGAACCCAGCTACGTACTGTACATGAACAAGACTACAACTACGTCCAGGAACACGACCACAACTACGACCAGGAACATGACCACAACTACGACCAGGAACACGACCACAACTACGACCAGGAACACGACCACAACTACGTCCAGGAACACGACCACAACTACGTCCAGGAACACGACCACAACTACGTCCAGGAACACGACCACAACTACGTCCAGGAACATGACCACAACTACGTCCAGGAACACGACCACAACTACGTCCAGGAACACGACCACAACTACGTCAGGAACATGACCACAACTACGTCCAGGAACACGACCACAACAACTACGTCCAGGAACACGACCACAACTTCGTCCAGGAACATGACCACAACTTCGTCAGGAACATGACCACAACTACGACCGAGGAACACGACCACAACTACGACCAGGAACATGACCACAACTACGTCCAGGAACACGACCACAACTTCGTCCAGAAACACGACCACAACTACGTCCAGGAACACGACCACAACTAGGTCCAGGAACACGACCACAACTGCGTACAGAACTAATATTACAAGAACATAGTACACAGCAATATACCACACACGCACTACACCATTGTCTTGAAGGTCATACTGAGAGAGAGTTATTTAGCCGAAGATGTAAGCCGAGAAAGTGAAGAAAAGGGAAGGAAGAGAAGGAGAGGAGGATGGAAGGAAATAGGGAGAGAAGGAAAGGAGAGAAGGATGGAAGGAAATAAGGAGAAAGAAAAGGAAAGCAGAGATAGAAGGATGGAAGGAAACAGGGAGAAAATGAAAGGAGAAAGATAAAGGCGGGAGTGAAGGGAGACACAGAAACTTAAAAGAAAAAGTCTTTAAGCGCCATCTTGACCAACCATTCACTTTAACTTAAAAAAAAAAGTTTATGACAAGACGGCCATTTCCCCTTCTGCCTCTATCCCTGTATCCCTTGTCCCTAACCCTGTATCCTTAGGGCCACTAGGGTACACCACAGACAGGCGTAAGGGTTGTCAGGGGTTTATCTGCAAGTCTCTTGAGGGCATTTCCTGCGGCAAGTGTCACAGTAAGAGGGCCGTGGGAAACACCTCAGTCTACCCTACACTCGCGGTCATTTTCTCTGAGCATGAAATTTTGAGTTATAGAAAATTGGCTTTTGAGGTTTTTCTTGACCACTGTGTTTTGATTTTTATTACACACACACATTCTACACGGAATTATCATACTAAATTCAGCTCATATAACACCTTGTTGACGATGATTAACAAATAGAACGATCCAATTACTGTATGCAAATGAATTAGTAAAAATATATATATAGAATTTTAGTGTACTTCTCCACGTATCTAACCTGTAGCCCAATAAAAGAAGCTCCACTTGAACAGTTAATTTTGTCAAGGAAGTGAATATACTTTCCATATCAGTGACCCGTAACATCAACCGCAGTCATCCTCTCTCTTCTCAGATTTCAAACTTATGAGTCAGTCTCCGGTACAGTTCAGGTTTGGATCTCTCTCTCTCTCTCTCTCTCTCTCTCTCTCTCTCTCCTTTCTGTGTCTGTCTGTCTGTCTGTCTAGCTACACTGTCTTCCAAAAGAGCAATTCATATCAAAAACTATAAATCGTAGAGTAAAATCAGAACACATTAAGTCTGAAAGCAACTGAAGGTATAGAGGAGATGGAGACTTTATTTCCTGATAATGAAAAAAACGTAACCAAAAAAAAATCGCGTTTTCTGGCGAATTATAAATCAACGGGGGAAGAGGGGGAGAGAGGGTATGGTAGACAGAGGGAGTGACAGGGAGAACAGTGAGAATGTGACAGGGAGGATAGTGGGGGTGTGACAGGGAGGATAGTGGGGGTGTGACAGGGAGGACAGTGAGAATGTGACAGGGAGGATGGTGGGGGTGTGACGGGAGATCGTAGGGGTGTGGCAGGGAAGACAGTGGGGGTGTGATTAGGGAGAAAAGATGTGAGGTGGAGGGTAGAAGGACGGGGAGTAGGAGGAGGGTAGAAGAGTGGGTACGAGGAGGAGGAGGAGGGGGTAGATGGTGTGACAGCTCTCAACCCCCCGTAATTGTTCTCAGCAGGGGTCGTCAGGACCTAATTTACTGGAAGTCAAGAAATTTCTCTCTTAGAGTACTTCATCCTCACTACATCGCTCATCTCAACAAAGCCCCAGGAGTCGTGTGCCCCATTCCCCGCCGTCCACACACACTCACACTCTCTCTCTCTCTCTCTCTCTCTCTCTCTCTCTCGTTTCCTCCTCTTTTCTAAAAATTTTCAAGGCTTCGGAATTAAAAACAAACGATACACGATTTTTTATTCTTAATTTACGATTTTAAAACATTTGTATGTGGCTTAGAATTAGAACACACGAGTGGTTTATAAACTCAAGTGGATTAGAATATTCAAGTGGATTAGAAAACTCAAGTGGATTAGAACACTCAAGTGGTTTAGAACACTCACGTGGATTAGAAAACTCAAGTGGATTAGAACACTCAAGTGGTTTAGAACACTCAAGTGGTTTAGAACACTCAAGTGGTTTAGAAAACTCAAGTGGATTAGAAAACTCAAGTGGATTAGAAAACTCAAGTGGATTAGAACAAGAACACTTAAGGGGTTCATATATAATACATCTTAAAATATATCTCGACTATCGCATTTCTCTTTGTACCTGAACTTTCCCTGACAGTGTACAGGTGAGGTGAGCCAAGGGTTATCAGGGCGGCCAGGTAAGGTCGGTCAACCCCTTGTCCTGTATCACACAAAGGAACACACACACACACACACAAACACACACTTATGTAGGTCATTGGTTGGTGTGTGCGAGAGAGAGAGAGAGAGAGAGTGTGTGTGTGTGTGTGTGTGTGTGTGTGTGTGTGTGTGTGTGTGTAAACAAGCCTCCGGTACTGAGAGATGTAGAGTACAGAAATTACGACAACACATCACGAACCAAAACAAACTTAACTTTACTAAAGCCAAACCTAACCTAACCTAACCCAAAACAAAGCCAAGCTCGTTAATAAAGTTCATAAGCTACGTGACAAGTCCTCAGATGTCACGGTATATGAGACAAAAATCCGCGTCTTGACAGCAGTTGAGAGACGATAACACACCGCGTTCACCTGTGTTGTAAGAGCGTTTTACTGAATGAGGAGATCAAGGCTGACTTTCCCAACCTGAAGTGCTGTGAGCTACTGTGAGGTGCTGTGAAGTGCTGTGAGGTAGTGTGAAGTGCTGTGAGATGCTGTGAGATGTTATTAGGTCCTGTGAGGTACTGAGTGGTGCTATGAGGTGCTGTGAGGTACTGTGAGGTAGTGTGAAGTGCTATGAGGTGCTGTGAGGTACTGTGAGGTAGTGTGAGGTGCTGTGAAGTGCTGTGAAGTAGTGTGAAGTGCTGTGAGTTCTGTGAGATGTTATTAGGTCCTGTGAGGTACTGAGTGGTGCTATGAGGTGCTGTGAGGTACTGTGAGGTAGTGTGAGGTGCTGTGAGGTCTTGGGGATCTTTACTTATAAAATATTGAGTGATTTTCTCAGGCTTCTCACACAATGACAAAATAAAACTTTCAAATCTTGCGAACCATTCTGATGAGAGAAACGCCCTCTCAAAGACCTACCTTACCTATTTACTCTCCTTCCCCACCTTACCCCTCCTTATCCCTCCTTCTCCCCACCTTACCCCCTCCCTACACCCCACCTTACCCCTCCTTCTCCCACCTTACCCCTCCTTCTCCCCACCTTACCCCTCCCCTACCCCTACCTTACCCCTACTTCCCCCCACCTTACCCCTCCTTCCCCCCACCTTACCCCTCCTTCCCCCCACCTTATCCCCTCCCTACCCCCACTCTCACCAGCTACTTATCCCTAACCTTCTGATACTCTAAAAAAAAATAGAACTTCTTCAATATCTCATCAAATAATCAATAAATTCAAGCAAACTGTATAAATTAAAACAAGTATTCACGATATACTGTTGTAATACCTTATTATAACTACATACAATATCTTCAAATAATTGTCTTTGTTTGTTAAAGGAAAACTAAATTATTTCCATCATATTCAGTAGAAGTTTCAACAGGTTTATATTTCCGGAGAGAGATTCTGACCACGTTATGAGTTCACCCAAGGAACCTAAAACAGATCCCGGAGTCAAGCAGAGAACTAACAACAAGACAAAGAAACACACTATTACCATCGACCCTCTTCAACCAGCAGGAATAACACCGAGATAGACACAGACAAGACAGACAGACAGACAGACAGACAAGACAGAGAGACACACAGACAGAGACAAAGAGGCAGACAGACAGACAAGATAGAGATACACGTACAAGACAGACTGACAGAGGCAAACAGACAGACACACAAGACAGACAGAAAACCCTATCCCCCCCAACATTCCCGTGAGGAGGTAAAAACGTCACCCATCTACGCTAGACACTTAAACTTTATGGCGTCATTGTCTGCCGGGGCCTGAACACCCCCTCCCCAACAGGCCCACGTCACCCGATCAACTCTCACCTGTCACCTGTTTTGGACCATCCTGGGTTAAGGTTAGATCACGTTAGGTTAGCTTAGCTTAGGTTAGGTTGGGTTCAGAGATCACAACCTAACTACCCCAACCTAACCTAACCTAACCTAACTTAACCTGACCTAACCTAACCTGTCTTTGATCATGCTGGGATAGGGATAATCTTCACTATTATCTACCTATGGTCTGTCTGTCTGTCTGTGTATCTAAACTTCCTGAATCTATGTGAACTTATACCTGGTCTTTACTGTAGGAATATCTATACATTTATATATATTCTATCAGCCTGAACCTATCTCTTCTCATGAGAGTTTTACGTCTGCATGAGAAGAAAGAAATTGGGAGGGTTAGGAAGAGTGTACAGTAGGTGTCCCGAGTTGTTTGTTCAGTGTGTGTGTGGGAAAGAGTGGGTGTATGTGTGTGTGTGTGTGTGTGTGTGTGTGTGTGTGTGTGTGTGTGTGTAACTCGTGACCAGCGCACAGTACATGCACCAAATTATATCTTAATAATAGGCCACCGTGTACTCGATCATTAGGTTAAATTACTTATAACGCGACCATCACCAGTAATAACGCTGTGTTGCCGCGATGGGGGAGGGGGGGAGGTAGGAGGAGGAGGAGGAGGAGGAGGAGGAGGAGGAGGAGGAGGAGGAGGAGGAGGAGGAGGAGGAGGAGGAAGGGATAGGATCAGGAGGTGGGCCAGGTTCAGGAGGTACAGCGGGCCAGGTTCAGGAGGTACAGTGGGCCAGGTTCAGGAGGTACACTAATAAGGAACCAACACTTGATATTCATTAGGTAACTCGCCATGGTCGTAAAGCTGTAAATTTATGATGCATGGTAATTGAATATTATACTTACTGGCCAACACAGTCATTGTCTTTATCAAATTCGTATATAGACATAATAGAGGTTGGGTAAAGTTAGGTTGGGTTGTGGGTTGGGTTGGGTTGGGCTAGGTTGGGTTGGGTTAGGTTAGGTTGGGTT